GGGGGCTGCCGCGGCTAGTCTTGCTGCCGGGCGGCCACGGGCACGGCGGGGCTGTCCTTGGCCGCCGGCCCCTCTGAGTCCCCAGCCCCACGCAGTGCCGGGCGCCCTCCCTGGCCCCCGTCAGTGGGTGTCGTTCTTGATGACGATCTCCACGCCGTGCTGGCGGAGCTGTGCCCGCAGGATCAGGTTCTTGTTCTTCAGATCCTCCACCTGGGAGAGCAGTGGGTGTGAGGCCAAGCACGCCACCCTGCTTGGCACCTCTCTGGCCAGCCAGGCACCCCAGCTAAAACACCCTCATAGCCCGCAGGATCCGGGCAGGAAGTGGGGATCAGAGCGAGATCCCCTGGGGCTCGTCTCACCTGCTGCCGCAAGACCTCGTTGTCCATCTGGAGCTGATCAAGGCCCTGCAGCTCCTCGGAGAGGTGGTGGTGGCTCTGTCGCAGCTCCTGGATGTAGTCACAGGCTTTGGAGAGGATCCCACCTTTGCTCTGGGCCAGAGGGATGGGACGTGAAAAGGGATGCCGGGACCTACCGGCCACCCTGCTTCCAACCTGTGTCCCCACCGAACCAGCTCTGCATGGCACTCACAGAGCCAGCAAGGACAATGAAACCAGCCCCTTCGCCACAGAGGAAGGGCACCCAGGGCTGCTGCACAGCCCAGCAGTTCTGGGTGCTCCTCGAGCGCTTGTGAGGACGCAGCTTCCTCACCCTCCATGGCATGTCCCGCTAGCCCAGCTCTGTGCCCCCTCCATGCAAACAGCCCTGCTTCACCGCCGGTCTCTCATGCAAGGCACTATGAGAAGTGGTTGCAGCCCTCTTTGAGGTGCTGTGTTCCTGCAGCCAGGCTCTGACCTCACCAGGGCGGGCAGTGACAGGGTCTCTTACCTGCCCTGACTTGGTGTTCTCCATGGAGCAGTCTGGGATGATCTTGGAGAGCTGCACGATCCAGTTGTTAATCTTGTCCCTGCGCCGGCGCTCCACTGCAAGCGAGAGAGGACCAGTGCCATCAGCACCATCCCAGCCTGGAGACCCCCTCCGGGGCAAAGCATCTCCCTCTAGCTGGGTCCCCAGAGGGAGCTGACCCCAGTGCAAACCTTGACGCGATGTCTCTCCCCACCCAGCCCTGGCTGAAGGATGGGCAGTGCCATCCCAGCACCCTCCTGGCTACGGAGAAGTTGGGGTGCCTTGAAGAGGGCAGGAAGTGGCACTAAAGGGCCCAGGAACCCAACCTTTTGAAAGTCTGGGAAAGCAAAGATCAAGCACCCAAATGGCCTTAGCTCTGTCCTTGTAGCTGTGTCCGCACAGGACCTGAGACCACTTCCATCTTTAACCCTAACCCCTGAGCTCAGACCCTCGGACCGCCAAGCAGGACTAACACTCGCTCAGCCAGGCTCCAGCTCCTCATGGGATGACAGCAGGGTCCAGATTTGACGGATGGGTGCCAACCTGCCAGCTCTAGAGTAAGGGGACAACCTGTCCTTCCTGGTGCAGCACAGGGAGCCCAGAGCTCAGGCTAACAGCCCCAGCTTGGCCCAGCAGCCTCTGGAGAAGCCAGGGGGAGGCTAATAGCAAAGGATGGGGGCAATTTAAGGGCTTGACCGAGGCACAGGGATAGGAAAATCGATTTCCGGGTCAAGCCACATGAGCACCTCTGGGTTTTGGCAAAGATGAGGGCCACTGTTTCAAGCTAAGCAGGATACACCTCTCAGCCTGTCCCCCCCTCACCTTTCACTTGGCCTTTCAAGCATTTTTGAGAAGTTATTTTTGAAGCCAAAAGAGTCAGGAATTGGCAAAATGTGTCATTTGGATCCTTTCTCAAATTTCCACCTGGCTTTAGTTTCCATAACTGAATCTCTTCTCCAAGCCCGGTATGAGCACACCATTGCTGCAGGACGCTTCCAAAAGCTACTCTGCAGGGGTTTCGCTGAGCGATCGCTCCCCTGGACCATAGTCTCCACCTGACTGCTTGTGCTAGAAGATGCCGACATGCTGATGGCAGGCGCAGATACACACGAGGGGCTCAAAGCAGAGCCCCTGAGCCCCAGCAAACGCCGCCAGGGCTGCCGTGCCCCTCGGTCGTGTCGGTGAGGGTTGATAGGCTCGCTCACACCAAGGGCAGAGCCAAGGCCTGTCTGGGTGCCTTACCTGTACGTTCTCAGGCTTTCCAAGGTTTGAGTTTCTTTCAAGTTTAATCTTCTTAGCTCTGGCTTCCCTGCTTCTGATAATTACAGCTCTCCCATAAGAGGTTTTACCCTTAACTGATAAGAGCTTTGTGATATGTCCTTAGAGCTTTTCCATCTAGGTGGGAATAGATAAAGAGTTAACCCAGGGAAACCTCTGCTCCCTGACATTTCCACAGGCCAAGTTTCCCTCAGAGAGAGCTACTGCCCAAAGAAGACATCTCTCTTCCTTCCCCAGGGCCCTTCCCAGCCCTTCCTGCCAGTACCTTCGTTGTGCTGCGCTCGGCGTTTCTCATCCCGGGTCGTCCGGGGCGTCTCTGATTTCCTAGGAGGAAAGCCAAGTGGGAGGTTTGGTCTCAGGCATGTGGGCGGGGGCTTTTCCGGCATCTCAAATGCTCCCCCTGCAGGCAAAGCAGCCGGCACGGCGGGTACCACACTGCGGGTACCGTGGAGGACCAGTAATTCCAGCTCCCAGCCCCGCAGCACCGTTTAGTTGCAGCCGAGTCCTGGCTCTACCCCGAGGCAGGATCAGCACAACTCAACCTATTTCTGAAAGCGCCAGGAAAGAGGCTCCAGGTCTCCATCCCAGCACATCACCATCAAAACATTTCCCCCCTCCCCATGGCTGCGATTTAAGTCCGTGGCTACTTGCTCTGCTTCGGCAAGTGCCAAGGACAGCTCGTTCTCTGCCTCTCTGCATGCTCGGCCCTTCGCCTGGGGACTACCCTCACAGCACCCCACAAAGCACCCAGCAGCACAGGGAGGGGAGAGAAGAGGGGCAGGTACTCACGGGGAGTAGGGATGGGTGCGGGGAGCGATGGATCTCTGCGCTCCACCCTGCAGGACTTCCTGGGGCGACATCATCACGAAGAATTGCCCTGCACGGCCAAAAACAGGAGACGAGCTCATGCGAGGAACAAACCACAAGGCAGGGAAAATTCAATCCCAGCAGGGACAACCCGGCAGCCAGATACAGCCAAAGGGGACCAGGACCTCCTGGGGGGTTCCCAAGGGGACAGAGATGCAACGTCCCCCCACCTCCTCCCAGCAACGGTTGGCCCAGCTCGCAAGGAGCCCAGAAAACCCAATGGCGTAGGGGAAGGGCAGCCTGCTTCTGTCCCCATCATCCCAAGGCCCCCGAGCCGTACCCGTAGGTGTGGGCTGCCCCAGGAGGGCCTCCGAGTTCTGCGTGGTGACAACGGCAGTGGCCGTGGTCCCTGCCCCAGCAGATGTGCTGGTGTCAGCCACAGCCGTGGTAGGAAAGTAGGTGTAGTGAGTCTCCGTCGCCGTGGCCTCTGTCTCCACCGCATCCTCGCTGGTGAAGGCGCCCTGGATGACAGCCTGGAGGGGATGCACGATAGAAAGGGGTCCCTGAGTTAAGACAGGGTGCTGAGCAAGGACCACAGGCACCGCAGGGCCGGAGAGCAGAGCGCTGCGGTAGCCAGGCTCCGTTTCCGGAGCCTTGCCAGCCCGCAGCTGGGTGCCTCGAGCGTTTCCAGCCTCGCTGACTCAGCACCGTCTGCGCCTGCCAGCACAAGCCCACGCCAGGCGCCCTCCCACCAGCACAGCTCGTTTCTTAGCCTGGCTCCCACGGGGCCAAGCCCGTTCCCACGCAGCGCTGCCAGGAGGCCCCACAGATGGAAGGAGATGCTGCTGTGCCGGCCCTGCGCATCGCAGCTCTGCTCCGCCATGTCCCACTGTGGGTGGTTGGGATCTGGGAGCCAGGGACAAACAGAAGGGAAGGCCACGTCCTGCCCTGAGGCTGTTTCCCTGCCTGCCTTGAGACCTCGCAGTGGGCTCTGGAGGGAGCTGTTGGACAAGGCTGGGAACAACGCGGCTCCCAGTGCCTACCTGTGTCATGGACTGTGCCGCTGGGTACCCGCTGATGGCACTGGTGCCCTCCGTCTGCCCGTCCAGCTGCCCATCGGCCACTTGGATCACTCTATACATCACCTGGGGAAAAGAGCCATAACTATGGGGACGGGGAACAAGGACGCAATCCTGCACCTCTCTCCTGCAAGGGCTTAACCCTGCCTGGAGGCCCAGTGGGTGCTCAGCACAGCACAGGATCAGTCCAAGAGCACAGCCCCCCGGCTCTGCATGGTTGCTCTGCACCCTGAACCCCTCCGCTTCCTTCTTGCTCCTCACATCCCCTGCAGATCCTTCCAGCCGTAACACCAAGACATGGGACTGTCTGGAGGGGACAAATCCTGCTCCGCCTCCAGCACCAACACAAAAATAAGCCCTGACTTATCTCACTCAGCAACGGACTTGACCCCTGCACTCGTGGGTTCCCCCACCACATCCTACATAGGGGAAATAAATCTGTAGGGTCTGTTGGTGTTTCTCCTTTCCCCTTTTCCCACATCCATGGGATGTTTTTGGGCCTGGAAGACACCCTATGCCTGGCCCAGCAGCGAGACAGAGACAAGTTTGTGAGATGCCGCAGCCAGAGGGGCTTGGGTCCGTACCTGCGTCCCACCATTCTCTGTGCGAAAGACATACTTGATGTTGGGGTCGGGGAAAGTAGCCGCGGACTGGATGCTGGCAATGGCGACGCTGGTGGGATCCTCACCTGTGGCCACTGCACCTTAAGGAAAGAAGGGGGGGAAGCCCATAACGGGGAAAGGGAACAGGTGCTCACGGGGCCCAGCCTAGCAGCCAGGAGCTTTCCCTTTGTCACAGAGATGAGCTCAGAGCCAGCCCCTCTCTCCCAGCAGGGCAACGCAGGGGAAGGATAGGATTTTAGTGGCTAAAGCAGGTCCCATGTTACGCCGGCATGTGCTGCTTGCTACAGGACACCTTATGCTGGGGGTAAATCCAGTATTTTTGGGGCTCAGGGTTGCCCTGCACTGCTCCACTTCGGAGCTGGTGCAGGAAGAGCTGCCTGGAGCCAATCCATCGCTTCTCACGACCTCTCCTGCAGGCATATGGGGATTCATCCCCCCTCCCAAAGCAATGGGCACCGATGGGACTCTCACTCCAGCTGTGGCAGACACAGCAGGAGCCAGATTCACCGGCCCGGACATCCCTCACCGCTCTGCGACCTCCCAGACCGCTGTGAGCCCAAAAGCTCTACCATGGTGCGCCGTGCTCCCGCGAGGCTGGCTCCCCTCCCACACTAGCGCTGGTGATGGGGGTCCCCTCTCACCTTCCTGGATCTGCACTGTGCCCTCTTCTGTCTCGGCTGCTTTCTGCTGTCTGCAAATGCAAAGGAAGTCATGGTGAGGAGCGAACACGCGAGACGGAGACTGGCTGGGGGACCAGCAGCATTTCAGACCCTCTAACGTGGGCTCGCTCAGAGGTTTGGGGTGTGGGAAGCTTAATTATTGGCTTCAAAAACACCACAAGCTCGGTCACTAGCTGGACCAGCTTCAACATTAACCCTCAACCACAGCTTATGTTATCCGTGGAAAATTTGGATTTGGCCTGTGCAAGTGTCTCTGCTGAAGAGGGCCTTTGACAGGATGGGACGCAGTCACATAGCTGTTGTTCCCATCTATTCAGCCCTGGTGCCCAAGTAACGCGCTGGATAAAGGCATCTTTGTCAGCGCTGCGGCAGCCGGCCGCTGCCCGGGTACTCACCCCTTCATCTCTTTGCTCCGTCAGGCATCAGAAGAGCAGGTCTCCGATTTTCCTCCCGAGCCTCTCACTTCAGAGCCTGGTTTTCAGAGCCCTGGGGAGGAACAAAAGCAGCGTCTCAGAGGCGACAGCCTCGCGACCGATGGTGCTGCCTCCCTGGCCTGGGTGACAGCCACTCTCGCAGACTTTTCCCTCAAGGAGCTTGGCCAAGCTCTGCTTGCTTCCCCCAGTGGGGCTCCCCTTCAGCCCTTGGTCTTGGCCTTCCTCCCAGAGCAGAGGATGAGGAACAGCCCCGTCATCCCTTGCCGAGTCCCTCAGCTGGGCCTGACAGGACAGGCAGGGACATCAAGTCGAGCAGGGCCAAAAGCAGCTTTCCCAAGGCATGACCCCACCATGAGCCACAGATCCACCCCAGCTTTCCTGAGTCCAGCCGAGCCCCCCATGGTCCGGGGACGGCTTGTCTGGCTTGGGGACATCCCAGGAAACACTTCCTCCTATAGCACGGACCCACCTGTCCTATCTAGACTGAACACACCTAGGCTTGGTGAACGGCCTTGAGCCGCCAACGGTCCCTGCTGCCCCCAGCTCTCCTGCCCCACCGGGCATGCATGAATGACCCAAGAGCCTCTCCTAACAGCAGCCTCTCTCAGCTGCGGCCCCTTTCCAGGCTCCCCATCTCCCCTGTCCCTGCTCAGGTTTGTCACCCCCTGGCCCACGATGGGCTGGGGTGCCACACCAGGCATGCGGGGACCAACAGCTGCCCTGTGCAGGTCCTTTTTAGTTCATGCCACGCTGGATTTCAGCTCCATGCTTGCACCTTTCCAGGACTCAGTCCCCAGCCCAGTGTCCTGGATCTCCTGCCAGCAGATCACCCTGCTGCCTCGCGAGGGGATGGGCCACACGTGGCTGGGACAGGGATGGCCCCTGTCATCCCACCACCTCCGTCCTCATCCCGGCACATGCCCTCTGCTCCCAGTGTGGGGGAACCTGGCCGTCCCGGGTGACACCACCCACAAACATCCCTACATTTATATGTATTGTTATGTACATATATGCTATTTTTAGTGTATTAAAGGCCAGCGGTTGCCAATCCATCCCAGTAGGGCTTCTCCACCCCACACCATGTCCCAGGATCCAGCCATTCACCAACTTTTACCTTGCTTCACTACAAGGATCTCAGTTTTTAGGAAATAAGCCCATCGCAGCCTCACCAGCACCCTCCCTATCCCATCCCCATCCTGCCATCTCTGGGGCTCGGGTCAGCCCACGTCACCCCGGCCCGGCACTCAGAGCATCCTTAGGAGGAGGCCAAGGGGCTCGGCTGGCATCAGTACATCACTCTTGTGCCTTCGTTTATATTAATTCCTTCCTCGCCGACCTTGAGTCCTTCAAGCATCACTCATGTCCAACCCAGGATCCACACCAGGTCCCCTGCTAGCTCCTCATCTGTCCCCCCCGGACTTGGGCCGCTTCACCCAAGCAGCGGCATCGCTCCCTGTTGAACCGAGCGTGTCAGTTCTCTGCAGCACATCTGCCTGCCTGCCTCATCCCTGACGCCGGCCGAAAGCCACCGCAGGAGAGGTTCACTGAGCTACATCTGTTCGAACGAGCGGTGCCTCGGCGCTCCTTCTCCCCAGCTCTCGCCCATTGTGACTTTACACAACTCCCATCGCCCAGCGGGACCGGCTCGCGCCAAACGCGGGGCCAGTGCCGGGATCACGTGGCCACCCGAAAGCCCCAGATTGTTTCTGCGCTCGCTGATTCCAGGTTAACGCGACCGCTGCTGAAAAGAGAGCGGTTTCATAACGCGAATAGCTTCAGCCTAAGAAGGTCATGCTGTGCCAAAGTGGGGAAAGCCCGTCGGGAACACACACGGAGACTGTCCCCTGTGCAGGACGCGGGGCAGCAAGGCTGTCGGACAAGCTGAAGCGGCTTTGCACTGCCCACTGCATCCTCCTGCATCCAGGCTCAACCTGCCTCCCTGGCCCAGCACATCTCTCCACGGCTTGGTCTCTTCTCTCCTCCTCCGGTCCCCACACGGTGGCCCGCAGCTGCGGGGCTCTCTGGTTATTTTCAGCTTGTTGCTCCCGCGCTGGCCCCCCG